GAATATGCGAAAAACATTTGAACAAGGAACTTGCTACTAATCAAACAGTGTGCACATTTTTTTGGGGAACCCCGTATCTTGCTATGCAGGATGTCCATGAAACTTCTCAAGAAGACGAGTTTGCCCCAGCCACGGAAGTAGGAAATCCGTGTTACAAATTTACCCAGGATACTTTAACCTTCACGCTTGCAGTTTTTTCAAACTCAAAGCTCGGATATTTTCCAAAGGTTTTAAGAAAAATAGCATCCGAAATCAATACCCATTTCGCAGAACTTGTCACCAGCATGGGCAATGTATGGAGGTAGTACTTGTAGTAAACATCAGCAATTAGCGGCTTATTTTGCAATCCATACCCTGGATTTCCACTTTCACGAACATTTCAGGAATGGGATTGTGATCTAGAAGCTAACTTGCAAGTCGATATTGACGATTTCGATTGCAAAGGAAATACATTCATACCAGCAGTACAAGTCACAACATTTTATGTATATGATAAGTAAGTAGCTTGGATGGGGGCTCTGTAAAAATGTTTTTTTTTCAACATTTTTAGCGAAAATAAAAATTTTGCTCCATCCAAGTGACAAAAACATCGAAGCTTTTTAGTTGTAAAGCACTAAAAACTTTATGCAAATACTGCTATTGTTGGGAAGTGCAATAAAATCAATTTAGTATATACCACGGCGATTACGGCGGTAATAATTATGGAGACACACCCGTCCTAACAAATTTGGTGAAAACTTACCTCGACCAAATCGACCAAACTGCTTCAGAAGCTTTTGTCGTTGTGGATGAACAGGTCCTAGCTTCCAACGACTCGAACACATTTGATGCTGTAAAACAGTACGCTGAAGTGGGTGCTGCCACTAGACATATAAAAACCTATTTCAGTAAAATTGAATATTTTAGTTGATGCGAGCGGATGCAACAAAATTTGCTTGTTCACATAGGCAATGCCCAAGCGATGCCACTAGACCGGAACTGTATATATATGTGTGCTGCACTGACAAAGAGTAAGCAAACTTCAAAATTGAGTTTTATTAATACAAGCAATTTCTCCAGCTTGAAACTCCTTTATTGTGGAGAAGAGGTGAGCACGAAAAAAAATTTTCCACCTTTGCTAGTGGAGCAAAAGATGGGAACAAAAATAAGTTTTTCATGCGAATTGTGCGTGGTCTGGCAACGTGAAAACTCTTAGATGACCAGCGAGCCTGTAGTCTTGAAAATACGAAATTTTACGAAAGTGGCTTGAGTTATTGTACATTTCAAAATACACATCAATAGTTTGGAATAGAGCAAAAGTCTTTTACATTGTTTCACGAATCGTAAAGGGCACAATCAGAAAATTCGGGATTTATTTTCGGAAAGCGGAGTAGCGGTCACATTAATTTAAAGCTGACTTCGAAAACTAAGTATATAAAACTTTGATTGAAAGCATTTATGAAAAAATGAAGGTCTTTTATTTTCTGTTCTACGCAGAGCGGGTGCTATGCTCAAAAATGGTCTAGTTAACTTTTACTTTCTTCTGGGGAATTCAAAGGCAGTGCCCTGGCAGAATTTTGTTTTCCAGTTTTTTCCTCATCTGAGTTTTCTCGCTATAAGAAACCCATATCTGAGTTTTTCCGTGCATGAAAATGGGCCCTTCTGAAGGCTGTCCAGGTCCACATTTAATGATACGCCGGAAGTCTTCCGCGTCCCGCCTCCCTTGTTTCGGACTCAGCCCATTTGTATTTTATACTGCATGCCGATCTGGAAATTTCGACAGAAGCTCATTTTCGCCATTTTCATGCGTTGAAATGCTATGGGTTCTTT